TGCCGCAGGAGGAGCGTGAGTGGCTAGCACAGGTCGTTGCTGCCCGCACGCTGTGAGTGTCGTCACATGGTTGGGGGGGTACATGCGTGACTTGGAGGGGATGAGGTGCTCTGGGAAGGGGAACCTCAGGGGACATGTCTGGTTGCAGCTGCCAAAGAACCACAGTCAGGGGTTGGTACCAAGAAACCTGAATGTGGCCAGCAGGTGGCCTGGAGGTTGAGGCGCTAGAGCCCACGTGGCCAACAGCGCGGTTTGAGTCTCAGACCCTGCCTCTGGAAAATCACACCAGGTGCGCGTGCGTGCATGCTCAAAATCCCAAGAGGAGAGTGGATGAGACCGGACTGTGAGTGGCCATCCTCCTGACGGGTGATCTCTCATTCTTTCTCCCTGTCTCTCTCCTGGTGAGGCACACACCCTGTAGCAACACCGAAAGAAAAAAATAAAATAGAGTGATATTCTCTGTAAAAGAGAAAAGAAATAAAGGGACCAGCACTTAGCGTAGTGACTATGTCGCTGGACTCCCATGTAGCCGACCGCGGTTCGAGTTCCGGACCGGCGGCTTAAAACTCACACCAGGCTCGTGTGTATGCATGCCCAAGCTCCCGCGAGGTGAATGGAGGAGAAGGGATTGCGGTGTGACCATCCCCTCTGGGGGGTGATTTCTTCCTTTCTATCTCTCTGTCTCTGTCTGTCTGGCGAGTGCACGCGCCCTATAGCGAAAACCTCTCCTCCCCCCCACAAAAAAAAGGAAGAAAATAAAAAGAAAAGAAACCTGCATGACGACGGGCCCAGAAAGTCAGAGCCTGAGTGACACGGGGCCAGGGCCCGGGCTAAGGACGGGGGCTGGTGTGCACACCATCCTGGTAGGCCCAGTAGGGGCCCAGCTGTGATCGTGGGGTCAAGGCATAAACCCCCCAGACAGGCCCAGGTGATTGCTGGAAAGCCCTGAAGCGGCCCCGGTGCAAATGTCCCAACCCCACATGCAGCAGACACGGGGGCGGAGGGGGGCAGCCCTCAGCTTGTCCATGGCCACGGCAGTCCACGACACCGTGAGGGAAGAGCAGTGGGAACCTGTCCGCAAGCCGAGGAGCGGGCTGTGAAGGGCGCGTGCTTCCCAGGAGGCGGTGGGAGATGAACCGGCTGTATAACTCCATGGAGCCAAGGGTGATGGACGACGACATGCTCAAGCTGGCCGTGGGCGAGCAGGGCCCCCAGGAGGAGGCCGGGCGGCTGGCCAAGCAGGAGGGCGTCCTCTTCAAGGACGTCCTGTCACTGCGGCTGGACTTCCAGAGTGCGTATCCTGGGTACAGGGGGTGGCCCGGGTGGGGGACGCTCACAGGCGGGGTCCCCTGGGCTTCCTGGGCTCCACCTCCCAGCCCCAGAATTCCCGCTAAGTCTGTCATTGAAGGACCCACGGCAGCGTTAGGGCCCACCCAGCTCCCAGGCATAGGAGCAGCAGATGTTTGGGATTTTATTTGCTTTTTTTTCTGAGAGAGAGAGAGAGAGACCCCTGACAAGGTCTTGTCACACTGCAGTCCTCCCCCGGGCACTCCGGCTAGCCGGATCACTGGCACACACCAGTTTCTGACCCCAGGCCTTCCCACGTGGCTCCAGTTTTACACAGTGGCACCCGCCCGCCCGTGTCACCTTAGCCTGATCAGGCCAGCTCAGGACGCCAGTGCAGAGACAGGTCAGAGAGGTCGCAGGGCTGATGGGAGGGAGGAGTTTCAAAAAGTTTATGGAGGGGGACCAGCAGTTAGTGTAATGGCTATGTTGCTGGACTCCCACGTAGTCGACCGCGGTTCGCATCCTGGACCCGGTGGCTTAAACTCACGCCAGGCACGTGTGTGTGTGTGCCCAAGATCCCGAGAGGAGAATGGAGGAGGAGAAGGGATTGCGGCGTGGCCATCCCCCCTGGGGGGTGATTTCTCGCTTTCTGTCTCTATGTCTCTCTTTGTCTGGCGAGCGCACGCGCCCTATAGCGAAAACCTCTCAAAAAAAACAAAGTTTATGGAAAAATGCATACTGAGAAAAACTATACTTGGTTTTCAGAATGAATGATATTCACTCCAAAATAAACTCGCACTTTAATTTCATTTCCCATCAGCTTTTCACAGTCCCCTCTCATGGTGAGTAAGGTGGATGCCCCCGGGAGGAGGCTTGGGTCTCCTGGAGACCCCACTGGCTGTGAAGGGGTAGACACTGTCGGGACCAGGTGCCAAGCTGGGTGTGTGCAGAGCACCCAAGGTGCAGGGACCACGCAGAGAGTGTGGTCCTGCAGGAACGGCCAGGGCAAAGTGGGTCTGGGGCTTTCACTCAGAGGTCAGAGCCCGCGAAGGGGCCTGGCAAATCCAGACCAGGGAAGGGAGGCGGCTGCGAGCAGGGAGGCAGGGCTGAGTCCTGCCCAGGAAGACAGGTGGGCATAGTGGCAGGCGGCGTCTGGGAAGTCTGGCCTTAAACGGAGCTGGAGAACAGGTGCCAGCCCTGCTCTTCGCCCTGGGGACCAGCAGAGGCAGAGTGGAGCAGCCCAGCCCTCGGGACGGACAGCAGGCCCTCAGCCTGGGTCAGAGAATCGTATCCCCCACAACTGAGACCTGGCACAGGGAGGGCGAGTGAGAGGGGGTCTGCCTTCCCCCCCCCCCGCCCCCCAGACATCCCCCTGCGATCTAAACTGCCACTCTGAATGTGTGGCCGTGAGCAGCACGGTTTGGAAAGCCCCTTCAGACCTGCCCCGGAGCACAGTGATTCAGAGCACAGTGATTCAGAGCTGCCTAGAGGAAGCTGGATCCCACGGGGCACACAGCCTTGAGTCCCAGCTCCGGTGGCTTCAACACACATCGGATATGTGTGTGCATGCCCAGGAGCCTAGTGGGATGGACTGCTGGAGGGGAAGGATTGCGCTGTGATCGGGGGCTCCTTGTGGGGTTCTCTCTCCCTCCCTCCCTCACTCCCTCCCTCTCTCTCCCTCCCTCCCTCTCCCTCCCACTCTCTCCTCTCTCTCCTCTTCTCTCTCCTTCCCTCCCTCCCTCTCTCTCTCTCTCTGCCTGTGCCTTCTAAGCATGCAAAAGAAAAGAGAAAAACCCATTTTACTTCTGTATTATTTCATTTCTTTTAATGAATTTCTTCTAATTTCTTGAGTTTTGGAAATCATTGCGAAGGCGAATGTAGAAAAAAGGGGGAATAAAAATGACGAGGTACAGTGACTACAGAGAGCTCGTGGGGCCAGCTCATGGTGAGGGGGTACAGCAACTAGGTCCCACGTGGCCAGCTGCAAGGTTCGTGTCCTGGACTGGTGGCCTGAAGGTCACATCTGGCGTGTGTACAAGCATGCCCCAGATCTCAAGAGGAGAATGGAGAAGGGCTTGCTGCGTGGCCACATCCCTCTTGGGGGGAGATGTCTCACTTTTCCTCCTCCTTCTCTGGGAAGCACATACGTCCTCTGGCAATATTTTTACATTTTTATTTTAAAATATTTTAGGTTTTTTGTTTGTTTGTTTGTTTGTTTTTGGAGAGGTTTTTGCTATGGCCATGCCGCAATCCCTTCTCCATTCTCCTCTCAGGATCTTGGGCATGCACGCACACGCGCCCGGTGTGAGTTTAAGCCACCGGGTCTGGGACTCGAACTGCGATCGACTACGTGGGAGTCCAGTGACATAGCCATTATGCTAACTGCTGGTCCCAGGATTTTACAATAGGTGAGCTGACCAGAGAGAGACAGAGAAGGAAAGTGTGAAATCGCCTCCAGGGGGATTACCACGCCGCAATCCCTTCTCCTCCATTCTTCTCTCAGAACGTTGGGCACACATGTGCTCAAGCCTGGCATGATTTCCATTGCTAACTGCTGGTCCCAAGCCTGGCATTGTTTCCATCGCTCACCACTGGTCCCAAGCCTGGCATGATTGCCAGACCACTGGGTCTGAGGCTCAAACCGTGGTCAGTATGTGGGAGTCCAGCACCTTAATCACTACCGTACCTGCTGGATCCTCTGACATTTAAAAAGCCTCTCCCATGATTAAGGGAGCCAGGTCACCACGTCCCCCGAGGCTGCCGCAGCTCAGACCCAGCCTTGACAGCCTGAGAGATGAGGTAAGTGCATGTGCCTGCATGCCCAGAGTGCTGACAGGGTGCAGAGACGGACGGGAAGGGATTGCAGCCTGACCCAGCCCACTGAGCGTGCCTTCCCCCTCTCCGTCTCTGGCAGGCTCACACCCACTGGCAAAACAAAACAAAAACGTAGTTCATGGGAAAATGGAATTAAAATAAGAGTTTATTTTTATGCCCAAAATTGAAATCCATGCACAGCATTTTTTAAAAAGAATTATTTATTTAATTTTTAATTTATTTGTATTTTTAATTTGTTATAAGGCAGGCATGCATGCCAGACAGAGAGAGAGAGCAAGCTGTCAGGTCCAGGACTTGAACCACAGTCAGCTATGTGGGAGTCCAGTGCCTTGACCACCACCCCACCTACTGGCCCCGATGCATAGGGTTTTTTGTTGTTGTTTTGGGTTTTAATAATTTGTATTGTCCGTGAACTTTTTGAAGCCCCTCCCTCATGCATGTGATTTCTGGGGAAAGCTGGGTCCGGCCTCCAGACCTTAAGTATACGGCATGAAGTGATTTAGGCCTGTATGTTACTCGGAACTCTGGTCGTCAATGACAGGCCCAACTCTGACTGGCCAAGGCGGCGAGCTGGCCGTGTAGTGGGGCAGGTGGTCTTCAGGGGCTGCAGGGTCCAGCCTCCACGGTATCAGGGACCTGCCTCTCTTCCACGTGGTGACCTGCCCTGTCCCCTGTCTGATGGGCATTTGGGGTTCCCCTGTCCTGCCCCCACATACCTGTAGGTATTTCTTTGGACACATCCCTTTGGAGTTAGAGTCCAAGTAGAGAAATAGCAGGTCAAAGGGCATAGACATTAATTAACCCTTTCAGTAAATGCTGCCAAACGCCCTTCCCCCAAGAGACAGAGGCTCCAATTCTGCACACGGTGGAGGGGAGGCCCGACATCCACGTCCGTCCTGTGCCCTAAGCTGTACCAGCCTCCTGGGGAGCCCCCAGCCTCGCCCCAGAGGCAGCTGGAACTAGTCTCCTGCTGGAGCCACAGCCAGCTCACCCCCTTCCCCACCACCCTCACCCGTCCCCACCCCTGTGGACCTCTGCAGTCCTCCCCTGGCCCTGGGCGGCAGCGCCAAGCCCTGCCCACCCCGCACTCACAGAGCTGCCGGTCCTGGATGCTCAGCACACTTCCCCAGGCACCTGCACTTCCGGGCGGGGAGGTGAGGGCCCTGTGCAGCTCCTCCCTGTCCCAGGGCAGCTCCCGGAACCCTCCGGCCTCCACCTCTTTCAGACATCCTCTGCATAGACAACCTCTGGCAGTTTGAGAACCTGAGGAAGCTGCAGCTGGACAATAACATCATTGAGAGGATCCAGGGCCTGGAGAACCTCACGCAGCTGGTCTGGCTGGGTAAGGCCTGTTCCCCTGTGCGTCCGCCCTGATCCAAGGCGACGCCCTGCCCGGAGACGGTAACCACCCGTGACACTCAGCTGCCGGCCCATCTACAGCCGGAGTGTGGTGGAAGCTCTGCCTTCTGGGAGCAAGAAAGCTGCTGATTTTAAAAGCATGGGACTTAGTTCCAGGCGAAGCACAGCAGAGGCGTCTTGGGGGCCAGCTGGGGACATGGTAGTTGAGGTGCTGGTCCCACGTGGCCCCCCAGTTCAGGTCCCAGACCCAGCCACCTGAAAAACACACCAGGTCCATGTTTTTCCCAGAGGAGAAGGGATTGCAGCGTGGCCATCACCCTCTCCAGGGAGAGCTCATGTCCTATAGCAAACTTAAAAGAAGATGTGCTTGGCCACACCGGGGCAGAACGTTCTGCCCCCACGTGCCCATCCCCTCCGTGTGGGTGGGGCTCCGGAGACCGCCATGACTCCTGTCTAATCTAGACTCGGGTTGACTGGGAGGCCCAGTGAGCTCACACCAGAAACGGTCGCCCTGGAAGCACCTGCGCTAGGGTGGGCCTGTGTGCTCTGTGCATGAGGTCCTTCAGGCCACGCAGCAGCCCCACCTGGAGATCAGCAGGCCGAGGTCGCAGAGTGGGGCCTTCGGGCTCCCCCTGCCAGCTCTGTCTGACCAGAGGCCTGGCCCTCTCTGCCGAGGCCTGGGGTCTGACGCATGCATGCGTTCCCCTGCGAGCCTCCTAGGCTGAGGCCCACCAGGCAGGGGCAGGGTGGGGGGGTGGGGAGGTGGGCACCCTGCAGAGAAGGCACAGGCCTGAGAGCTCTCCTGCACTTACCTTATGCTGTCCCCACAACCACCCAAGGAGACAGGGGTCCATGAGCACTCCCCTCTGCAGAAGGGGAACTGAGGCCCAGAGGGGCAGGGCACTTGTCCAGAGCCTCACAACCAGGAAAGGGCAGGGCCGGGTCTCACACCCACGCCTCTCTGACTCCGTCCTGCCAGGCTTCCCGGTCACAAGGGCAACCTGGGACATCAGTGTCCCTCCCAGTGGCAGAGCACTCTCAGCTACATTCGTGCTGACGATCAGGGGCGGCCAAGCCTCCCGAGGACAGAATGGAGGGGCACGGTGGGAAAGGAAGTGGGTTTGGTAGGCCCCCCGCGCAGCTCTCAGAACCTGTCCCGTCATGGGCTGTGCGGTCTCGGGCGTATTACCTCGAGGGCCCTGTGACTCAGCGTGTCTCTGTAAAGTGGGCCGAGGAAGCCTGCCCGTGAGGGTTTAACCGGGACGTGCTTTGGGCCTGGCAGAGAACGACGGTCCATCTTGTTAGGCTCAGCCCTGAACAGGTGAGCACCCCGCTACCTGAGGGAGCTCAATTCAGATTTCTACAGTGTGGTCACTTGTGGTTCTCACGATCGTATTTCTAAGCTAGGAAGAAATGCCCGGGTTGAGCCTCTGGGCCACTGCAGTTCCAGACAGAATTGCAGCCCCAACCCAGCCAGCCCCGAAAGCCTGTGGGGGGGGGAAAGTCCTTCTGCCCAGAGACGTGGGACTTGGGCTGTGGAAGGCGCTAATGTCCCCTCTGGGCCTGGGGAGGGTGCCTGTGATGAAGCGGGAGGACCTGGCCTGCCACGTGTCCCAGGAGGGTCCCTGGATGACCTCTGGCCCCGCGTGGTTAGCTGTGTGGCTTTGAGCAGATCACCGAGCCCTTCTGAGCTTCCACCTCCCGATGGATCACACTGGGCGGGAAATTGCAAACCACCCGTCAGGGCTGCTGTCGGATGTACACACACTCCTCGATACACACAAACGCCCGGCAGACACGGACGCGAAGTGGTCCTGCCAAGATGCTCACGGGTGTGTGGGAAGGGAAATTCCACGGCTGCGTGCCCCTGTCCCCCAAGGGGTACTGTTCAGACCTGCTAGTAAGCATTTGTTTTACATTTATTTTATTCGTGCTAATGAGTCTGAGTGCACGTGTGTGAGGGGAAAGACAAGCACCCTTGACAGGTCTCGTCACCCCACGGTCCCTCCCCCCACCCACCACCCAGACAGCATTCAGTGTTTCAGGGCACCTCGGGATCCGAACCCGCCATCGGCCCTGTGGCTTGCAGCCCTGTGTCGTGTACAATACCTGCCTCTCCGAGCTGGGCCTAGCAGGCGTTTTTATTCCAGAACTAAGACAGAGCGTGAATGTGAGCGTGGCCCTGTGTCCCCAGCCAGCAGGGCGAGGGCAGGACTGGGGACAGCGGTGAGGGTCTGAGGCTGCGGACGAGATCCCACACCAGGCTTCTGGGGGAGCACCCTCTGTTAGGCAGGAGTCGCTGGCCGAGCTTGGCGCTGACTCTCAGAGCATTAAGGAGCCCCGAGGGGCCGATTCAGGAAGTTCTGTCCTGAATCAGGGGAGCAAGCCCTCACAGCCCCCTGCCTCCCCAGATCTGTCCTTCAACAACATCGAGGCCATCGAGGGGCTGGACACACTGGTGAACCTGGAAGACCTGAGCTTGTCCAACAACCGGATCTCCAAGATCGACTCCCTGGACGCCCTGGTCAAGCTGCAGGTGCTGTCGCTGGGCAACAACCAGATTGGGAACATGATGAACGTGAGTGGCGGGCCAGGCGGGGGCTGCTGGGGGCTGGGGGCCGGGCTGGGGGCTGGGTCTGCAGGCCACATCCCTCACCTTCAGAGACCCCACGCCCTGGGGTCTACGACAAGGGGAAGCGCAGGCGGAGTCTTCCAGATCGTCCCCTTTTCCTGGGAAAGCCAGAAATCCAGATTCTCCTGTGAGTGGTTTGATACTTGCGGGGCATCATGCGTGGGTTACCCCAGGGTGGGCGGCCAGAAAGGACACTGCCTGCAAGGAACAGAAAAGCTCCTCTGGAACAGGTTGGCAGCAAAGCCGGGGCAGGGACGTGGCGCAGGTCTGTCCTCGAGGTGACCCTGACCCTGGGAAGTGGGGGTGAGCGAGGGGGAGAGGAAGAGCCTGTGGGCAGCTGCGTCAGTGACACTGCTGCCGCAGGTGACAAGGACTGCATTTTGCTTCGCCCTGGAAGTTTCCCCAAATCCCTTCCGGAAGCGACCACCTGAAGGTCTGGAGCCTAGCTTGCCCCCTGCTCTGGGGGTGGGGAAACACGCAGGCCACTGAGATGGCCGAGGGTGGGGAGAGAGTGCAGAGAAAGGGACTAGGGGGCTGGGACGGAGTCAGCCTGGTTTCAGAGCTCAGCACTGCCACCACCAGCTGTCTGACGGGCCAGGGACTTCGCATTCTGGGGCTACCGATTGAGTAACGGTTTGTCCCCCAGAGGTTCATGGTTTGGCATGTGGTCCCCAGTGTAATGTCATGGGGAGGTGCAGAGAGCTTTAAGAGGTGAGGTCGGAGCCAGCTGGTGGTGTGGTGGTGAAGGCACCTGGACCCGTGGCCCACCGCGCAGTGTGTCTCAGACCTGGTGGCTTGGCACGCACACCAGGCACATGTGCATACCCAAGATCCCTGGAGGAGAACGGATTGCACTGTGGCCATCCCCCCTGGGGGGTGCTCTCTCGCTCTCTCTCAGGAGTACAGGAGCCCTCTCGCAAATTAAAAAAGAGAACGGGATGAGGCCTCCTGGGTGGCGTTTGCGTCGGGGAGGCACCGGCCTCGTGACCGGGTTAGTGCTGCAGTGAGAGCTCCGGCTCTCTGGAGAAGGGTCCGTTCTCGAGTGGACAGGTCGATGGAGAAGGAAGATGGCCGTCCCAGCACCCTCTCCGTTTGTACCCACCATCCCTGCTCTGGGGGCCATGCTGTGACATTAGCACGGAAGGCTGGCCTCATGCTGGCCCCGCACCTTTGGACCGGCCATCCACCCGAATCATAAGCCAATAGCCCTCGGTGACGCAATCGCCCATCTCAGGCTTTCCCGCTGGCAGCACAGGAGGCACCCCCGTGCCCAGCTGTCAGGTGGGCGAGCAGTCGTTCTCACTCCGTGCTGCTCCCATGGGGCTGCCGTGAGCGTGACGTGCCTCCTGACGGAACTTCAAAAAATGTGTGTGTGGGGGGGAACCAGCAGTTAGCGTAATGGCTATGTTGCTGGACTCCCACGTAGTCGACC